AGGATGGTAGCATTAGCTATCAGATAGCTACCTTCAAGTGAGTCCGGGGTGGTTGGGCCTGGTTGTTTCGCTTTCTTGTCCTTGTTGGAGGTATGCATCCTCAAATTTGCTTACATCCTGTCCTGGTGCAGACTGCTCTCTCTCACAACCTGTTGTAAAACTGGCCAAATGTCAAGTTAGTGATAAATATATTTTGAAATTTGCATTAGGGAAACGCTGCCTACTTCTCCATCGCTCACTAAGCGCCCGCTGCTCTTGTTCATCTGATAGAGCAGTGATTGTCAGCCTTCAGTCCGTTCCGTTCTTACGGACATTAGTGACTGATAATGCAAAAACACAATTGCTTTTTTTTTTAAAAAAAAAGGAAAGAAAAGCAACAGCAATTATTCCTACTCCTCATAAAATAATGTAACACATTATTACTTTGAAAGTGAGGTCGTCACATGTCTTTATTTTGATTGTCACATACTTTAGTAAAAGTAGGGAATGAACACCTGCTTAATGCTTTGGTTGTTTTCAGATAAATCAAGTACGACAACCCATACTGCAAATGACTGCATAGTTCCTTCTTTTCACCATTCTGCTGGTTTGAAAGCACTTTGAATTAATTGCCTTGTTACTGAAAATGTGCTATATAAATAAAATTACCTTACCTTTTAGAGTAAACAAGCAGAAAAAAATATTTAGTCAGGTGGTGGTCAGTTAGTCAGGCTTTCAGCTGCTGCTAGTCCCCGGCTCTAAGTTTTACAGCAGCAAAGCACTGATGTTTCCTTAATAAAATGGTTTGTCTTTAAAATTTCCTGCCTATTTTATTTTAAGCAAAAGGAAAATTCAGAAACTGAGTAGCAGTGCACAGCATCAGTCAGACCTCAGCTCTGAATAGAAGGGCTTCTGGAATGGTCCAACTATGAAAATAACCTAGAAATAATGAGAGCATATCTTTGTAAAATGTCTCTGTGCCTTGATGGTGGCGATAGGGCCCGTCAATACCATCAAGATTAAGTTATGCATTATTTATTTATTATTACGTAGTCTTTTACACATTAATGACACTGACTTTCCTCTCCTTCCTTTTAGTACATGGACAAGGCAACTGAGGGCAACACCATGGTATGACTGTTTGGACCCAGTTCCACCGCAGCAGCTTTTCTAACCCTGTTCCTTCTGATCCTGAATGAGAGCAAATGGTCAGACTCTCCTTTCTACCAGACAAACACTGCTTCCTTTTTGTAATGTCACCGGCAGATACCACCAATCTCTGGCACCTCAGCTCTGAATCACTGATGTGTCAAGTATGGATTCATTAATGTTATCATAAATCCTATCTATTCTCAAACGACGAGTGAGTCGTTTGAGAATGTTGGAAGTATAAATTATCAGCCTTATTGATCATCAAAAGCATACCAGATGCTTTCATACAGTAGTTGGTCCTCAGCTTGCCAAATTTGATTTTTGTGCCACAGCATTAGGCTCATATGGATAAGTATTCTTTCTTTTTTGCAGTAATTCTATTATGTCACTATTTCTGCCTTTAAGCTGTCTGATTTGTTTCATGTTATGGTTGACAGATACTGCTTAAGGATAAATTATTTTTAAAAAAGATGAGTGTACTACTTTATTTCATACTTAGTTTTGTTCATTCCAAACCTGTATCAAATTAGGTTTTCCAACCAGGTGGTGTGGCTTAGTCAAGTGCTAAAAGTTTGAGGTCACGGGTGCAACTAAAAATATTAGAATATGGTGAAAAATGTTTAATATTTTGTAACTCATTTTAGAAAGTGAATTCATTTCAGGCACACTGAATAAAAATACTTATTCCCCTCTCTCTCTCTCTGAAGTAAAACCAGACCAAACATCTTTTGATGTTTGGTCTGGTTTTAAAATTATTTTCCTAAAAGCCACAATAATGACAGAATATGTCAAAGATTAATTTAATAATGTATTCAAATCAGAAGTTTACATTCTTATCCTCAGTATTTGCTAGCACTCCCTTTGAACTGCCTTGGTCAAACATTTTGGGTTTCCTTCCCCAAGCTTTTCCCAAGTTACAATCCACTCCTCCTGACAGAACTGGTGGAACTGGTCAGTCAATGTTATCGACTTTATTGGGTCAAAGTCGATAACATTGACTTTTTTGACAAAGTCAGTGTTATTGACTATTAACAACAAATGTTGATAATATTTGTCAATGTATACGTGTATGTGTGTGTGTGTGTGTGTGCATACACGTGCACACACACACACACACACACACACACACACATATATATATATATATATATATATATATATATATATATATATATATATATATATATAATCACCGATCACTGCCGCCTGGATTGGCTGTTAATTTTTTTTGCTTTAGGTATAAATGATACCATGTTATCTGGCAATAAATTCAACTAATTTAAACATAATAGACATATTTAATACTTATCTAAAATCTTTTATTTTTAAGTTGCATGCTGCAGCTTTAAGCAGACGTTCGGTGTGAGAGTTCACTGTCTGGTGGAGGTTGAGCGGCGCTCCGTCTGTGAAATATTACTACCAGTATCGCGTAGCAGCAGTCCAAGAGCGAGAGTAGATCCCAGTATCTTACATCGTTGACTCCAGGGCTATGCAGGGACCTTTGGAGGGGCAGGGTCTCAAAGTTAAAAAGGGGCACAATGAACAAGATCTTCAAACATCGTACAACATAGCAACAACCCATATTAATCAAGAATCTAATATTTAATCGGATCATACTCCATGATTGTCATCATGTGGGGCAATGCAAAGCAAATAAAGTCTATTTTTTCCCCAACAGGTATAAAGTTGCTGTTTCTTTCTGCTGACAAAAACCTGAAGGGCTGTGTTGATCTGAGGCTGTAGCTGTTAAACATACCATAGGAGAAAAGTTTGCTGGTTATGAAGCATGTTATGAAATAAACAAATGTTATGCTATTTTACTAAATAAGCCCTACTACTTCTGTTTAACCTCTAACAACTTGGCTGGAGACTGTTTTAAAGATCAAAAAAGCTCAGACAGATTAACTACATAATTTTTTGATGTTAGCACAGATCTAGAATTATAAGACTTTTATCAAGGAAAGGAAAACTGAGTAGATGCTTGGTAGGGCCCCCAGACATTCAGGGTCCCCTATAAATGGTTGGATTGTAGCACAGACCATAGATCTAAACCAGCATTCATTTATTGAAAATTACAATGCTATTAAATTTTCTTTAATGCATTCAACAGAGAAAAAAAACAATAGTACATTTAAGATTTGTTAGGAAGTTTACTTTGTAAAAATTTAAAGAGTCATCTTGATAGTTTGATTGTTGTGTTACCATGGCTACGGTATGGTGTAATCTTTGTATTTGAGCTGGGTTTGTTCACAAATACATCACAGCAAATAGTAAAAAAAAAAAAAAAGCAGTGACTGATTTTAAATTTGGCCAATTAATCTGGGCTCACTATCATAGACTTCACAAAATCTATATTTAAACAGGGTTAGTGATGCTGAGGTTCTTAGCAGGAGGGGGCCAAGGAGCTAAATCATAATTCATATTACCTTCGGTCGGCCCTGCACGAAGAACGAGCCGCTGCTCTGCGCATCTCTCACCTAGAATCTACCTGGAATCTCCCGGGAGCCCCTATGGTAGTTCGTCCTGCTTTTGGGAGATTTTGGTTTATTTAATTGTGGAACCGGGCTTGGCTTTTGCTGCAGTTTAGATTATTTTTCGCTGATGTTTATAATTTGATATTTTGTGAGCTGTGGCCGAATCAGTTGAGGTTCTACAGTAACTTCTATTCAAGCCGCTCACCTCCAGTCCAGATCCCGTCACCAGCGGTGCGAACCGCCTGGTAGAAACATTAAGGAGAAGCAGAGCGAACAGTGAGCAGGCGGTACCGTGCCTTGGAGCTGCGTCATGGTAAATGTACAAAAACTGTTTGTACATCTCAGGTTTTGCCGGAGGAAGTGATGCTGCTGAAGTTAGGAGAACAGTTGTGATTGCGTCATGGTGACAGTCACCATGACTGTCATGGTGACTGTCACCATGACTCGTCACCATGACGCAGCACCCCCCCTCCCTCTGCACGTGCAGAAGGAGGGAGGGTGGGTGCGAAAGGGACTTGAGCCCCTTCCCTTTTTATCCTTGATGCCCCTAGTGCCCTTTTTGAGTTTTTTTTAATATATATTATTTTTTTTCAAAAAATATTTTTTCCAATTTAAAATTTTTATTTTAATCTGTATGTCAGAAGGCCTACTTGTGCCCCTGAGCAATAATATTTAGCTATATATAATAATTTAGCAAAATTTTTCCGTATTTATATAGTCTGTATTTTCCGGACTATAAGCCGCTACTTTTTTCCTAAGCTTTGAACCATGCGGTTCGAAGCATCGTTGTGGAAAACCTAGAGTGTCAGAGATATCTGGGGCTTATAGTCCGGAAATATAGTAGTCTGGCTGCCCAAAGACTAATAATGATTCTCAGTTCCTCTGTCTCCATGTTGTTCAGACGCTGGGTCCATGGTGAGGAGGAGCGGGCGGATCTGTGCGCTCTAACTATCAGATTATGGGCAAGAATATTTTTTTATACACTGGTTTGTCTGATGTTGACATTAGAAAAACTGTTTCTATGTATATTTTTATAATTGTCCTTGCAATAGCGGGAAAAATCCCGCCTCGCCCCTAAACACAGAAATGCTTCGGCTGCAGAGAAAACTTCTGACTAACTTAATCAGGCTGATAAATGCCCGGTTCGCTACAGGCAGTCTGAGTCGGTGCCACCGACAGTAGTGACGTGCGGTGAGGTTCATTGCTGGTGAGGCACTGACTTACGACTAAGTACTTCGTTACTGTACTTAAGTACA